GGCCTGGTGCGCGGGCCCGGCCCGGCGCCGCCGCGGCCCCCCGTGCGCTCGCCTCGCCCCATGGCGCAGGGCTGCTCCGAAGGGGCGCCGCCTCCCCGCCCGGCCGGCCCGCTTCCCTGCGCGGGCCGGCCTCGCGGGGCTGTCGTGGGGGTCACGGGCAGCAGCGGCGGCTGCCCCGAAGCCGCGCGGGCCCCTCGCCCGGAGGAGGCGGGGCAGGGGCAATAAACGGATGCGGCAGGCGGGCGCCACGGGGCCGGGCGGGAGGGAGCGCCAGGCGGGGCAGGGCCCTCTGGCCGCCGGGCCGCCCCTGGGCGCCCGCACCTCGCGGCAGCCGAGCCCTTGGCCGCTCCGCCCCTCGTGCAGCGTACCCCTTAGACTCTGGGGCGTCTTCGAGAGGCGGAAAGCCCTGTGACCCCTAGCAAGCTGTGGGGCGTGTCTCTCTCAAATTCAGAGAGTCCGAATAAACAGGATTGCACCCTTTGCGGGGAGGGGATGCTAGCAGTTGTGGGACCTCTGTCTAAACATGCATAGGAGAGAGGCAACAGACCCTTAACCCATCCTGTGAGGGGTAGCAAGATTTAATCTTTTCTGCAAGATTAAAATGTTCACATAAGAACTGGTCTGAGATAGGGAAATGTGTGAATCTTGCATTTCCACCTGTTATTTTTGCCCCCTTTTCCGTTCACGGCAGCTGCTATCCCCCTGGTGACGGATTTTAAAAAAAAAGCAAAATAACTAATAGCTCACCCAGCTTATAATTGGTATAGATTGTTTGAAAGAATCGAAGCATTTAACAAGATTCCATATTTAAAATGTTTAAATCCTTCAAAATGTTATGAAATTTTAGATAATTTTTAAAATGTCGAAAATGCCAGCTTTAGTTACACGGCCACTTAAAAGCTGAGCAACCTCCCATCAAGAACAAGCTTATCGGTGGTCTTTTTGCTTGCTTCTTTTGCTGGGGGTGGAGTGAGGATTGTATTACCCCCTTTGCATCGCCTGCAGATCCATTGATGCCTAGACTACAAGCCTCCAGGAATGGGACCAGCCCTCTCTTTCTTGGAAAGCATTGTGAAAACGAATCAAAAATAATTGGACCCTGGCAGCTTAAAGGGTTAAGAAAATTATGGCATAAGCATCAATGAGCTCGAGTCTATTTCTGCTATATTAATAACGATGCAAGTAATGTGTAATTATGCCTGTGCCTATGTTGCTGCATATTGCATCTTTCAATATACACACACAGCAAATTATTTTAAAATGCATCACAGCCCTACAAAAAAAAATTTCTTGGTGCCTTGCTTTTAGACCTGTGCTTGGGGTTATTTGGGGCGCCGATTCAGAAAATTGCATTGGCTAGACTGCATCAGCTCTGGTTTCTTAGATATAGTCAAATTTATATAATTTTTAGTCAGTTTTTGAAAAGATCTTGTTGATCAACTTGTTCTTCTGTTACCTAGTTTGTGTTGTTGCATAGTTAGCAGATATAGTGAGAGCGTTTACATACCTCCTAATGAAATTTTATATCTGAAACATTGGATTCTAAAGAGTAATTTATAACTATTATAGTTATGATCATAGAGAAGTTTGTATATTCCCACTCATATGCTGTATCTCAAAAACTAGAGCTGATAGGGAAAAATTGGTGCCATTTTTGGAATCAGCAGGTGAAATATACCCAGAAACAGATCCAACGTTTGAGACAGCAAAATCTGTGTTGACCTCCGTTACAAACGGTGGCTTTCTGCTTGAAGAGGAATATTTGACAGTGGGAATATTTGTGGAGCTGGCTCTGGTGACCTCTCCTTGATGCCCTGGAAGATGGATGTCACTGTATGCTATTCTTGTTGGAATGTGTGAATACTGGAGAGAGAAGCCAAGAGATGGCAGCATCGCCCAGTAGGTGAGGGGGACCACACCAGCCGGAGGAAGCATCTCCTGCCTCCCAGAAAGAGCATCATGAAACGGGGAACCCACTGGTCCTTTGCATCAGCCAGTTCCTCTGCTTGCTTTCCTCTCCTTTCCCCATTTACGTTGCTTTTGTTAGATTGTAAGACTGTTGGCAGGGCCTCACCTGTCTGTACAATATCTAGAAGTTTTAGGCAGTCTATGTGTAGTCATTGGAATAATTTGAGATTTTTAAAAATGGCCTTTTCCTGTAATGCTGGCAAGAAAACATTTAGCCTTTTGGATGAAGCCTTTCCTTGTGCGGTCACTGTGCCTCGTTCATGGAATTTCCCATGTGGCCCACTGACTGGATGGACCGACTTCACTAAAAAAAGGTGCAGCCCTGAATTTACAGGAACTGAGCAGCGCTGACACGGATTGGACATTTTGGGGGGCTTTCATCTGTAGGCTCCCCTTAAGTTGGAGATGGCACTTGATTACACATAACCACCAGCAGTATTGCTAGGTCTTATCTGCAACCGTCCCAAGGTTTCTTGCTTTCTCCCTTTTTACTTACTGGTAAAAAAAAAAAGAAAATCTGTTAACTACACAATACATTCTCATTGCTTTAGAACAACTTCTTGTGAATGACTTGGTGCACACAGGTCTCATCTGCATGTCAGGCGGAGAGAAGATGGGTACGCAGAGAGACAAGCAGTCAGTCCCCACTATCACCCATCCGTGGTAGTGGAAATAATGAAGAATCTGCTACTGGTCCTCACTCTTTGGATGTGAATGCTTTGATCTAAGAAAAGGTCCCAGTTGCAAGCAGAAGGGCTAGAAAAGGTTGGAAAGGGCTGTATTCCAGAGAAATAAAAAGGAGACCAGGGAGAGAAGGGTGAAAGCGGAAGAAAACTTTACAGAGACTATGCTGTGACAAATGAGCATAGCCAGGAGATAGAGAAGTGTAGAAGTCCGGCTTCAGACCCGGGTACAGTACTGAATCTGCCTTGGTCGCCCTGTACGATGACCTGTGCAGGGAGAGAGACAGGGAGTGCGTCCCTGTTGGTCCTCCTGAACCTCTCAGCGGCTTTCGATACTATCGACCATGGTATCCTTCTGGATAGGCTTGCGGGATTGGGGGTCGGAGGCACTGCTTTGCAGTGGTTCCACTCCTACCTCAATGGCCGAATCCAGAAGGTGGTGCTGGGGGACTATGGCTCTGCGCCATGGCAGCGATGCCATGGGGTTCCTCAGGGGTCCATCTTGTCCCCCTTGCTATTTAACATCTACGTGAAACTGCTGGGAGAGGTCATCAGGAGGTGTGGGCTGCAGAATCATCAGTACTCTGATGATACCCAGCTCTACCTCTCTTTTTCAACCAATCCAGGTGAGGCAGTGGCTGTGCTGAATTGGTGCCTGGCCGAGGTAATGGGCTGGATGAGGGCCAATAAACTGAAGCTCAAACCAGACAAGACGGAGGTCCTGCTGGTGGGTGGTTCAAACTCCTGGGTAGGCGAGGAGCGCTTTCCATCAGCTTCGGCTAATCCATCAGCTGTGTCCCAACCTGGAGGATGACTGCCTAGCGACGGTGATGCACGCATTGGTTACTTCCCAGTTGGATTTCTGTAACGCGCTCTACGTGGGGCTGCCCTTGAAGACAGTCCAGATATTTCAGATGGTGCAAAATAGAGCTGCCCGGTTGCTGACGGGGACTGGGCGTTGTTCTCATATAACCCGTCCTCCGACAGCTTCACTGGCTTCCCATTGAAGTCCGGGCCCAATTCAAGGTGCTGGTTATCACCTATAAAGCCCTCAACGGCTTGAGACCCGGATACCTAAAGGAACGCCTGCGTCCATATTTGCCCTCCTGCCCCTTGAGATGGGCAGCAGATTCCTCCGGGAGAGATATCAGGAAGCAAAGTACCCGGAGGAGGGCTTTCTCTGCGGTGGCGCCCCATCTGTGGAATGCGCTCCCGAGAGGTCCACCTGGCGCCATTGTTATTTGTTTTTCGGTGCTAGGCGAAGACCTTTTTATTCAAACAATATTTTAGCAATGTTTAATATTTATAGGTTTTAATTGTACAGCCAGGTGTGTTTCCGGGTTTTAAATGTATCTGTATTGTATTTATTTGTTTCTGTGAGCCATCCCGAGGCTATATAGCAAGGGGACGGCATATAAAAACTTTAAATAAAAAAAAAGATACTTAGATATTGATTCCAAATAACCAACCAAATCTAGGCTTCAGGATTCAGGTCAGAGTTGCAGTACATATGAGCCACAATACTAATTTTCAAATATCTGAGAGACTAGAATAGTTCAAGTCTTTTATTGCTCCAAATGCAGACATATATTTCTATATGAATATATACAAACACTGTTAAAAACTTTCTTATTTTTGGCAGGAATTATGAAGAAATTTACCAAACAGAGTGATGCCGAACAGCGACCACTGTGTGGGAATACATCCTAGCATAATTTAATAAAAATGATATTCTCTGAAGCTAGTGTGGCACACACAACTTTGTAAGAGTCCTCACCCGTTATTAACCTTATACTAACTCGTAGCACACCGATATCCCGCCACCTTGCCTCATACCAATCAAGGACCCCGAGTCTAACAGATTGTTTTCTTAAAGCAGGTATAATTTTAAAAAATCTGGCTCAATCGGTGCAAAGATTGAAGCAGTTCAATCCAACAAGATTTAGCCAATGTAAACATCCTGACATGAAAAGCAACGTTCTAAAGTGATGAGCGACACTGGATTCTTCCGCAGGCCGCTAGGATTTAAAGTGCTCATAACATTTTTCAGTGGGCTTGAAATAAAGGTGCCGTCACCCTAAAGATGTTATGGCAGCTGTGTAGCGTCGGTGAATATGCACACTGGCCACGATGAAATATGCCGTTGTTGAGCTGAGGTTCCCAACAGCACATACTCACCCTTTCCCCCTCCCAACGCCCTTCCCCTATCTACATTTATAAAATTTCAGCAGCACGGACTAGCTTGGCATAGGTGTCTGAAGGCCACGTGGGAAAAAACAGAAGCCGAAGGGCCGCAGCTAATTTGCACGGCGTTAGCATGAATTGCATAGCATCTTTGTGATCCCGACTGATGCTGTTGGGAGCAGCCAGGGCAACCGGTGATGGTCCTGTACGGATTGTGATCCTCAGTTAGGAGAAATCACACTCGGACTGCAAACCACCCTTGATGGAGGGACACTAAAGTCACAGGAATCAACACACCGTGGATTTGTGCTTTCAGTAAATCATGTCCAGTCCAGGAGCACTGGTTATTCTCACATTTTCCAAGTGACCCTTCCAATTCTAACTTATTTGACATTCAAAGCTAGAATCCATGAGAACTGCCCAAGCGCAGTGCCAGCCATTCCTCAGCCTTGACCCCAAAATGTGACTTTCCCATACCTTTATTCTGAACAACCAAGAATGCTAAATTAGAATTTGCTGTACAGGTATTCATTAACTAACATTTGTTAAGTTAAATTTTCCTAAGAAACTTTATTAACTACAGTTAAGTGTCAGCCAACGCACAGTTAAAATTGCCTTTGTTTTAATGTGTTAAAATACATTCAGATTCACACTGTTTCACACCAATAAAACCTATGCACAATAGATTTCATACTCTTTTGAGAAGTTGGGTGCTTCCAAATGAAGCCATTTTTGTGCAATGGCCCTGCCTCACTCGCAAAATTTTAGGAGAGATCAGACTACGTAGTGTCCACTTGATAACCCTCCCATAATTTCCCATCACTTCAAAGAAACTCTTTTGAGCAAAAGAAAACAGCTGCACACCATGATTTCTGACTGGCAGCGCTAGGAACTGCCTGTCTGGAAGCACCCAGAAACTAAGGCTCCAATTCTATACCCACTTTTTTTTGGGGGGGGGGGGGGGGGGTCTCACCAAACTCAATTGCGGTTCCGAGTAGGCCTGTTGAGAATGGCAATTTTTCTTGGATGAGTGACTTGTCGTCGCATGCACACAAATTACCAACTCCAGTCCGTATGTAAAGGTTTGTCGTTTGTGTTCTTGTCAATGTGTTGGTCCAAACTGAACTGGAATTCTTAACACCTGCCTTCCTGTACCCATAAAGGCAGATGTAATATTAAAGAAGCGAGCCCAAAGCCGAGTCCTCGGCTATCCTCACGCAGCTGCCATTCCGCTTGCCAACCCAATCAAACGCCAACTCAGCTGCCAGTGTTGACCCTTCCTTCCTATTACAGGCAGCCCCTTTCAATTCTCATAAGTACCACATATGCAAATATACATGCCCATTGCTTGCCTCATTATTTTTAAAATCAATTTTAAAAAGTGCAAAAATGCTTTCAGGGCAGCAGGGGATGGTGAAACCATATTTTGGTGACCTCGAGGACACCAAATGAACAGTGTTATTCCTTACCTATCTACTGCAAACGTTAAACTGGATTTTTAAAAACTATACAGAGCGTGATCTTTTTCAACAGGGTAGATCTGGATTAAATGCAGCAAGTTTTTCCTAATCGACCCCACTGCTCTGCCATAACATTATGCCCATCTTCGTTCAGTGTTTTATTCTCTGCTAAAACAGGTGGCAAGGGAAGATCCCACGTACTGAGTATTTTATGCAAGTTAAAACTATTCATAAAAGGAGGGAAGTCAGAGTTATACCCAAAACATTATTATATTTCAGACTGATCCGCTTTTCCAGAAGTTCAGCCCAACTGCAGTTTGCACAGACAGTTTTCACAGGCTTGGTGATTTCGGTTCCTGGAACGTTGAGAGAGGTATTTGCTTGGTAAGTTTACATTCCTTGGTTTTGCACGTCGTTTTTGCTTCATTTGCTTTTCCTTATCCAGTGCTGAGAGGAAAAGGAAGGGTGCCAAGGGCGACTTGATCCAAGACCGATGCAGCTACGGCCCAGCAAACGGGGCAGCTCAAACAGAAAGTTACATGGGAGGCAGAGGTGCTGGCCGGGAGGGGTAGAGCTTTTCCTGAGGTTTTGCCCCCTTCATCGCGGGGGGCGGAGGCCTGCAATGAAGATGGAGAGTCACACATCAACCCATTGGCTGGCTAATCCTCCGCCTTCCCTCCATTCTTCTCTGAAGTGTGCATATATCGTCATCAATATATTTTATTATATTTATATCCCACCTTTTTTCTTCTCAAGGAATTCAAGGTGGCTTACATAATTCCCCGCTTCCTCCTCTCAATCTTATCCTCACAGCCACAACCCTGTGAGGTAGGCCGGGATTATTATTATAATAAGGGCTGCATACGTTTAGTGACCACAGAGGGTTATGATCTATCATGCTGGCAAGCCATCCTTTTCTCCCAGCAGCTGTGGACAACATAGAAGAGTAGAGTTGGGAGGGGCCAAGAAGGCCATCGGGTCTGACCCCCTGCTGTAACAGGACACCAAGTCACACCTTCCCACTCAGAGGGCTGCCCAGTTTCCCCTTGAATGCCTCCAGTGTGGGAGAGCCCCCCACCTCTCCAGGCAGCCGGTTCCACTGCTGTATTGCTCTGGAAGTGGGGAAGCTTTTCCTGATGTCCAGCCTGAATCTGGGTTGCCTCAGCCTGAACTGATTATTCTGCATCCTGCACTCTGGCATCAGTGAGAAAAGATCTTGACCTTCCTCTTTGTGACAGCCTCTGAGGTACTTCTAGAGGGATACCATGTCCCCCCTCAGGCTTCTCTTCTCAAGGCTGCACATGCCCCGTTCTCTCAGTCCCTCCCCACAGGGCAGTGTTTCCAAACCCTGGATCATTTTTGTTGCCCTCCTCTGAACCCTTTCTAATCTTTCTGCATCTTTCTGAAATCTTGGTGCCCAGAACTGGACACAGTATTCCAGATAAGGTTTGACTAGGAAGGAGTATAGGGAAACTACAACTTCTCATGATTTGGAAGTAATACTTCTGTTAATGCATCCCAAAACAGCATTTGCCCTTTTGGTGGCTGCATCGCCTTGTTGGCTCCTATTTAGCCTATTGTCCACAATTACTCCAAGATCTTTTTCAGTTCTGTTGAGCCACGTATTCCCCATCTTGTATCGATCCCTTCGGTTCCTTTTTCCTAGGTAGAGAACTTGGCACTCGGAAGAAAGAAACACACCTGGAGTTGCCTCATTTGATCTGCACAACTGTGCAAGGAAGGTTAGGATCGGGGTTAGGGACTGGGCCAGTGGTTCTCAACCGTTCCTTCACCACAGACCCCCTTTAAATACCTTTTGTGGCTGCGGACCACCAAGACTTAACTCAAGAGTTAAAGCAGTAGACTGCATCAAATATTTATTTCAATACTCTCATGAGGGGCCTTCAAATTTTGAGAGAAGGGGAAGTAAGTTAATCTGTTAATGCGCACACTCCTATTATAAGTTCTTTATTGCAATGATTCCACACGAATTTCAGATACTACTATCAACACTCTTTTCACTCAAATGGCCCATTTTATGGTATTCTGACATGCTAATCACGAATTTGAGGTCAATTTTTACATTAAAATTTGATGAAACTTTTTACAATTATTCTCCCCTCCTCCCTTGTTCTCAGCATGTGCAGAAATACCAGCGTAGCTATTTGTCATCAAGACAGCTACTCTCATAGCCAATTTATACCTCTGATTGTTTTTAACTGAGGCAATAGAGGTTAAAAAGCCAAGTTTTACAAAACAAGCGTGGGAAATTAAGATTTTGTTCTATTTCCCATTCCCTCTTGCTTCCATTTGTAGGCTCCTCTGTTCATTCAGATTTAACTGCAAAAACCGTAACATTTCTTCAAGGCTTTGCGGGCCCCCGTGATGAAATCGCGGGCCCCCGGGGTCCACGGGCCACAGGCTGAGAAACACTGGACTGGGCCATAGGGAGGGCGGTGAAGCTGCGCTGGGACCGGACGCGAGCCGGCATCCCGCCCCCGCTGCCCCGTGGTCCCGCACAAGGGAAGCGACAATGGCAGTGGAGCAGTGCCCGGGTTAGTGACACTCCCCTGGCGGCCAGACCAACCTGGTTGGGACGTACTGCAGCTCCGTGGACGGCACGGCCGGCGCTGGGGGCGGCACGGGATCGCCGTACGGCTGGCGACGGTAAGGTTCGCCGTACGGCTGGTGATTCCCTGCGTACGAGGGCACGGGGTATCTGTTCGTTGGCACGTTCTGAGAAGAAAGCATTAGCCAAAGGGATTTACTGAAGCCGCATTGCAGGTTGCCTGTGCGTCCAGGCAGCACACGCCTTTCCACCCCTCTCCGTGACCCGCATCCCTGTCGGAGCTCATCAGGGAAAGCGGGACAGCCAGGGAGGCTTGGAAGCTGCTGCCAGCCTGGGGATGGAGAAACCAAAGCGCCAAAGGTCATTTTATTTATTTAAAGCTTTTATAAACTGTCCCTACACTAGCGTCTCGGGATGGTTTACAGCAAACAACAAGTAAAATAGAAATTAAAATAGCACAGTGTGCACTAAAAAACACATTAAAACTAATTAGATGTTTAAATGACAGGAGAACAAAAAGGGTTTTGCCTGGTGCAGGAAAGAAAGGGAAAAAAGGAAAAGAAGAAAAGAAAGGGAGGGAGGGAGGGAGGGAGGGAAGGAAGGAAGGAAGGAAGGTTTCTTGAATCCCCCCATTCATTTCAAAGGAAGCGTAACGGGGCGGCTCTGTTTCAAGGAAATGAACCCTGAGAACACTGCACTGAACGGGGAATCGCTTTTGCACGGTCCTTTATGCATCGCTGAAATGCACAAGGAGAACCACGTGGCCACGAGACGGTATTTAAAGTGCTAAATAAATAAATGAAGATAACAGGAAACTCTGAACAAGGCTGTCCCTCTCTGTGCAAATAAATATAGCTCCTTTCTATTGGCTGTTCCATTTAAAGCAACTTTAAGGGGGGAATGGCAGGATTCTTAGGATCCTCACTGAAACACAGACGCTTTTGGAGGGGTGAAGACTCAGCAGCTACTGGTTGGAGTACATGGGTAGAGATGCCACAGCTGCCATTCACTCTGAAAGGGCTTCCACATGCCCCCAGCCCCCATGCTGAAATGTCCCACACGCCTCCAAGATTAGACAGCAGTGGGAAAGCTCTCCTACCATATGCGCGGACGTGTCTCTTGGACGATACGGCACGCTGGGTGGGCACTGTGTGCGTACGGGCACTTCTGCTCTTCTGCGTGATCTTCTGAAGCCTCTAAACAAACCAACCAAATACCGAACAGACCCGTCATCACCTTGAACCGTTTGAGAATCCCATTCGCCCACCCCGCACCTGCCGCCAGAGCAGTTTGCCACCTGCAGTTCTGCTCATGGGAGAATTCAGGCTTCATTGTTTGAAAAGATTAAGGAAGTGCATTTATCTATTTTAGACCTCCAGTCAAGCTTTCTGACCACCTGCCTAAATCTTTTTTCCTTTCCATAAAAAGAACATACTTCACAAAATCTAGAATATCAGACTTAAGCACGCAAACCAAGATGTTGTGCCAAACAAGCACATCTGTAGCAAACTACTTGTGTATAAACACAGCGTTGCCTGGAAATACAAACTGGGCTATAAGTACAAACCGCATTTATCACATCCAAACATGCCTTCAAAATCTAAAGATCTACTTTCAGAATAAATGAGGCAAAGTAGATGCCTTTGCACAAATGGAGACCTTTTATTCTGCTTCCAAATTCAAAGGTTTTCAAACACGCAATTTTGTTGTATTTTGCCCCTGGGTAGCCAAATTCTGGCTCAGCCTTCGTCATGTGCACATCCTGCCTGACAGCTGAGTCCACAAAGGCGGAATTCCCCATGCGGCCCCTTCCCTTCTGGCCCATTCCGTCTGGATAGAGGGAATGGGAGAGGGCACAGTTGTTGGAGAGGGAAATAAAAACTCAGGGAAAGAGCCTGCTGCATATTCTTGTCCTGATTTATACTTACTCAAGCCTTGCACAATGAAACCAAGGACTTCCTTGTTGACCTCTGCTAAACAGAGCTAAATTACTCTTCTGGTATCTGAAAGCTACTTGAAACAGCAGGCAGAATCAGTGACTTTCTGACGCTGACCTTGGCAAAGGCTCTGCCTAATTATTTTTAATTTATTATTGTAAGCCGCCCTGAGGCTTCGGCGAATGGGGCGGCATAAAAATGTTTTAATAAATAAAATAAATAAATAATTCTGCCCTAAGTTATTGTCCTTGCATTTTTACTGCAAAGGAGAGGGAGGAATGCCCCTGGGAGTTTCTGCCTCGTGGGTCAAATAGTCTGGCTGGCTACGAGGGTGAGCACCCCGGCTTTGTGGGAGGCACCCCGTGCTGCTCTGCCTCAGGGAGCAAAGGGTCGTGGGCTGGCCCCGTGACCAGACTGGCATCCAGGGTGCGCTTCCCTGGCTTAAGGCTCGTGGAAGCATTCCTTGGTCTTACAAACGCCCCGTGAGAGGGCAGAACAAAATGCACCTCAGAGGTCCGGATTACACGCAGGCCTGCTTCTTGATTCTGAAATGCCATAAACTTCGCGTGCGAAGGCCGGGCTTCCCTCACCAGCACGGTGCCTCCGGGTGGGGCTGGGAAGGATCTCTGTCAGAAGCCCTGGAGGGCTGTTAGTACAGGGAGCAGAGATGCCGGATGGTGCGTGATGCGGACTGTGGACATGGGGCCCCTCTGCATTCCTTCTGTTGGGAAGCATGTTCTCTCCCCCCACTCCAAGGACTACTCCATTCTTCAAAACCACTTCCGTATTCCTGGTATTCCGTATTCCTCCACGGAAATGTGTGCTAACACGGATTTTTCAAGCAACAGAAAGCTTGAGGATGGACAAAATGGCACGTGTGACTCACCTAAGTCCCAGCACGATCGTGACTGCAGGAATGAAAAGGGCACTGCTTCCTGCTGGCCCGATGTCTGAACTCCCTGTCACTTAGGGGTCCTTGGGAGGGGACTGAGCTCCAGGGCTGAGAGATCAAGCATGAGGCTTCCCCGCCGGTGGAGAGCTTCCCGTGAGCTCCCCAGAGGTTCAGAAGCGAGATGCGAAAGGCAAAGCGCTGCAGACAATCGCCTGATTTCTTTACCCACCTGGCTTTTTGTTGTTAAGCAATCCTTGGGGCAACAAGATGTGCAATAGGAATACTCACCTACAACATCTCTCTACCAATGGTAGTAAAAATTTGTTTCTTGTAAAGTAACACCCGACCAAAAGCAACAGGAGGGGCAGAATCAGGCAGAAGAAAACCAGCAACCAATTTCTTGTTGTGTCATCTGAAAGGCAGACAGACAGCAAAAAGAATCAACCAGCTTCAACACCAACCTTGCTTTCATTCCTTCCTTTCACAGGACCGAAAGTGTAATTCCCCAGCCCCACATGGAGGAAAGAATACTTTTAATCCATGAAGAAGAGCCCCCTCTGATTCTGAAGTTCACATACAACCCTCAATTGCCCTTCCACTGGCTGCAGTGGTATCTCAGATCTTTTGGAAAACATGTACAGCAAGGAGTAATGCATTTTGTTCAAGCTTTTTATGTAGCTAAATGACTAACTAACCTAACGGAGTAAGAAATGGCTGCAGGCAAGCAGTTGGGGAGGCCTTTCTTCCCCCTTCCAAGTCAGGACAGCCCTGCTTTTAATGGTTTAGCAATGGGGCAACACAGCCGGGAGACAGGCACCTGCACTCCTGCATCAGTTTTGTCCCGGCTGCGGCGCTCTGGACGAAAGCCCAGGAATTTCTTCCAGCCCCGGGGAATGTCAGTTTTCTCACAGTGCAGTCCACGCCAGGTTATCCCAGTCGTTCTTCATTGCACCAGCATAATTTAGAACTGGAATGGGGTTGGGGTTGGGGTTGACATTTTTTAATGAATGGTTTAAGACGACCCCAAGAAGTGTACAAATTTGGATTTTACTCATTTCAGTTTGGATATGGCTGGTATCAGGGCTTTTTTTGTCATAGAACGCACTGGAACAGCGTTCCGGCACCTTTTTTTCCAATGGATTTTACAAAGTGATTTTGAATGGCGTAGCAGATCAGCAGCAAACCTCATTAACATAGTGCCTGCGGGCTGCTTTTGTGTCTGCTATCTGCTATCTGCTAGTGAGATAGTGAGAGTGCTGCTCTCGGCTTGGGACGCTGCTCCACTGCTCGGCTTGGGATTGGTGTGTGTGGCCGTGCGCTTACTGCCAGTGACATGAGTTCCGGCACCTTTTTTTCCTACAAAAAAAGCACTGGCTGGTATCAAATTTGGCCCAGGGCAAACGGAAACTGTGGCTGTCACAAGGCCACCCTTACCAACCCGGGGCCAGAAATCTCCAAAGGTGGGGCACTGAAATCCAGGCGCTGCTTCCTTCTGGGGAGCCACTCCTGGCAGACAGAACCAGCCGCCGGCCTGGGGCGTAAGTCCTCAGGAGAAAGGGGACCTGCACCTGTTCGCTGACCCCCCCCCCCCACCACTGCTGCATATAGGGAGATGGGCTCCCGGTGGCCTTTGCCTCAGGTACTTGCCGCTGTACGGAGGGCCACTGTCCACGCTGCCTCCATAGCCTTTGGTGGAGCAGAAGGGGGGGGCCCAGCCCGGCTCACAGTGGCAGTTCCTATTGCTGTTGCACACCTGGTGGAAAGACGTTTAAAAAGCGGGTTAGGAGCAAGCACAGATCCACGGGGGAGCAGAGCCTTTGCAAGCCGAGGTGCCAGGATCAGCCCGTGGGGTGCATCACCAGTTAAAAAACGGCAAGGTGACGGGAGAGAGACTCTGGTCGAGCACAAGAGAAAGCCCTGCAAACAGCCTGACCCGGGGGGCTTCCAGGCAAAACTATTAACATGCAGCTGCCTGGCAGCCTACGCAGAACGGCATCGGTGCAAGGAGAGTGTCCAAATGAGCCACCTGTAGCTTCTGGAGCTTTCCCTGCTGCTGCTTCCCTCTTGGGTCTAAGCACAAAAGTCCATTCGGGAGGAAAAGATGGAACATCTCTGGAATGAGAACGCTAGGAGCCGTCTGTCTGGAAGCTCCCCGGGACTCCAAATGCCGCTCATCTGACGATTCCAGTTCAGCCAAGAGGGTTTCCTACAGCTCCCTTCCGCAGAGGCCTGGGATACTGTGAAGAGCTTCAGGATGAGACGCAGTGTAAGGGGACTGGCTGATCAGCTCTGAGCTCAGAAGGGAACGAAATGCAGAAAGTGGTCATGACACTCCGAGAACCCGGGAGGTTCTAGTCCCAGCCAAGCTGAGCTCTCTTTCCTTCGCAAAATCTATCCAGATGCTGTGAGTTTCATCCTTCCAGCATTGAAATATTGGTGAGTGTTCCAAGAAGGTAGAAAAAGTTACCCACTGCCCCTTCAGAGGGCATTACGGACAAATGCCCCAGCCTGTGAGTTAGCTGATCTGTCAATAAATTAAAGATCGGAGGAAGAATCATCAATAACCTTCGATATGCTGATTACACAACTCTCCTCTCAGAAACCCAGGAAGGTCTAAAGCAATTGATCCAAGGAATCAAAGAACAGAGTGAGAAGTTTGGCCTCCTTCTGAACATCAAAAAGACGAAGATCTGGACAACTGCACAGAATGAAGTCATCCAAAGAGCAGCTGATAATGTGGAAGTTGAATTCACTTTCCTGGGATCCCAGATCACTCGCAGCAGCGAATGCAGTCCAGAAATAGAGTGATGCGTCTCCCTATGCCGCGTGGCAACGGCAAGCATCACTCGAGGGTGGGAAAACGAGAACATCGGCTTGGCAACCCAGCGCACATCGGGCCGAGCGATCATTTTCCCCATCGCAACCTACGGCTGTGAAAGTTGGCCAATGAAAAAGCTAGACAAGAGGGAAACGGGCTCATTGGAACTGTGGGGCTGGCGGAGGGCCCTGCGCAGTCCATGGGCAGCGGGAGTCGGGAACAAGCCGGTGCCAGAGCATTTCGAGCCAGCCGCATCCCTGGCTGGCAAGATAACGAAGCTGAGACTCGAGTAGTTTGGCCACGTCATGTGATCGAGCCCCGGCGGGAAAGATATAATGCTTGAAACGCTCAGCGGCAAGAGAAAACCGGGTCGCCAAGGAGCGAGCCGGTTCGACTCCATCGAAGGGGCTGAGGGCCAGAGCACGGTCCGGCTGAAAGAGGTGCCACGGGATTGGAAATGTGGGGAGATTTGGCCCATGGGATCACTTCTAGTTGGACGCAACTGAGCAGCTGAACAGTAAGTACTGAAATTCCCATGTAAAAATTATGCATCGCTTTGTTTAACTTACCCCATGCCCATTACACTGGTTCTTTATATCACAGTCATAACCTAGAATGGAAGCATCCACACACTGGGAGTGTTTGCATATCTGAAACAAGAACACACAGAGAACAACGCCATTCATTGAGATTGGGGCCGCGAACTGTGGAGCAGCAGCACCTGGCGTGTCAGTCTAGCAAAACTTGCACTTCTAAAGATCTGTGGGGTATTAGAATTTGACCCCCAGTGGGTTGTGGACATGAGAACGAGTGTGGTTCTGGTGTCCTTGGTCCACGTGAGGAGACCCCTTTCGGTTTACCTTTCCAGGCGCACATTTGGTGCCCTCGTTCACCATCCCTGGATCGGGCACATCTGATCCCAGTTGGAAGTCCACACCCCAGCAAGTGCTGCCTTTGATGCGAGACTGGATTATGGCAGGCTGAATCCCAAATACAGGCAAGGTTTCCACATTCTCGCACTGCAGCTTTCCACACATGGCGTTCCTGTGGCATGACCATGCAAATCACCGTTATGACTTCCGAGAACATTCGGAGATTATGCAGATAGATTTTGGGCAGGCTGGATTTCTGATGGGGAATCAAGATCATTAAATGGTCCCAGGAAGTAATTCTGGACTCGGGCATCCTAACAATGAGACAGATGTTAGTGTCCTCACCTGAGACACTAGACTTATCAGTGCCACTGGCAGAATGTAACTCTGATCTTCGAGCAGAAGTGTGTGTGTGTGTGTGTGTGTGTGTGTGTGTGTGTGTGTGTGTGTGAGAGAGAGAGAGAGAGAGAGAGAGAGAGAGAGAGAGAGAGAGAGAGAGAGCGCGCGCGCGCGCGCGCGCGCGCGCGAGCGAGCCCTTATCCTCTGAATGAAAATCAGAGAACCAAGTAATCTCTCTTTAACATGCTTTTCCTGGAGAGACTGGTGGATTGAAAAATAATCAAAACTAGGACACAAAAACACAAGAAATAAGCCCAAGCTGTCTTGCTGGGAAAGAGCAATGCTCCCAACCTGTTGTGGCAAGTGTTTCTGCAAAAAACACAAAAAGCCCCAAATGTGACACTGAGTACACAATTCAGGGCAGAATGCGGCCATTTTTTAAAAATCAAACTTTCTAGCTCTCATGGCTACAAAGACATGTTCCAGATTGTGTGGGCAACCCTTGCTGAAATACGAAGTGCCACAGAGGTAGCTAAATAAAATGTCCAGTGCTTAGAAAGCGATACCAGCCCTGGCTGCTTTACCTTCGCAACACCTGGCCACGTAGCCCTTGTGGGGAACACTCCCAGCAGGTGGGCAGAGCAGTGCTTTACAAACTTTCCTTCACCACAGACCCCTTTTAAATACCTTTTGCGGCTGCAGACCACCAAGACCTAACTCAAAAGTTAAAGCACTAGACTGCATCAAATATTTATTTCATTTTTCTCATGAAGGGCCTTCAAATTTGGAGAGAAAGGGAAATAAATTAATCTGTTAATACATACACTCCTATTATAATCTCTTTATTGCAATGATTCCATATGGATTTCAAATAATACTATCAATGCTCTTTTCGCTCAAATGGCCCATTTTATGGTATGGAAAATTAAGATTTTGTTCTATTTCCCATTCCCTCTCGCTTCCACTTGTTCGCACATCCGTTCATTCACATTTAACTGCAAAACACCATAACATTTCTTCAAGCCTTCGCGAACCCCGTGATGACATGGTGGCCCCAGAGGTCCGTGGACCACAGGCTGAGAACCACAGGGATACACCACATTGTTGCATCACACCAACTCACCAGCTTGAGCACTTCTTGTAGTCATGCCCATGGTAACCACAGTTTCCAAACCTGTCACCTTTGGAATTCACTTCAGAAAAGCAAATTTCGGGGGCAGCCTTTGCCTCTGCAAAACACAAACAGTTCGACAAACAGTCAGTACCTGCTCACACGTTGTGCTCGTACTTTTGTCCAGCTCTGCTTCAACCTCACAGCTGTGTGAGCCAGACCCCATGAAGCAGGCGAATCATTGAAAAGAATATGCACACCAGTGAAGATTAAAGACTGTTCCAATACAAGGTTTATCTGTGGAATAGCCTGTTTGGACGTGGGCAAAACAGAGGTTTAAAAGAAGCACTAGATGCAACAGACCACCAGCAAGTGAACAATTCCCCATGAAAGGGATATTCTGCTTTCCAATAGACACAAAACTAACGTTTTGCTCTGTAAGATGCAGCCCAAGTTCCACCGTCACCACCATCCAGCCCAAGCATGGATCCATTGCTCAGGGATTTGGGGGTGGTACCCTCAACAGCTTCCAATAGTCATGAAACAAACATTTTCCTCAATAAGATGCAGCCTATGTACAGTCACAATCAGTACATGCCAAAGCATGGATCCATTGATTAGGGATTTTGGAGGGGATACCTTCAGCAGCTTCTCAAATTCCCTACTGTGCCCAAAGATCTGAAAAGGTTTGTTTGTTTGTTTGTTTGTTTGTTTGTTTTATTGAACATTTTCATATGCTGTCCAACAGTAAAGTCTCTGGACGGCTTACAAAAAACAAGAAACAAAACAATTACATACAACAAACAACACACAACATACAGCATCCAACCATTCATGATAAAATCAAAGATAAATCCAATTAACTTAAAATATTGGGAAAATAGAAAGGTCCCCGCCTGATGCAGAAAAGAATAAAGTCATGGCACCAAATGAACCTGCCTGGGGAGCATGTTCCAAAGTTGGGGTGCCACTGCCAAAAAGGCCCTTCTCCAAGTAGTTACCCTCCTAATTTCCTTCAAAGAGGGCTCCCGGAGAAGGACCTCTGCCTCAGATCGCAAGGGCTGGGCAGGCACATAGGGAAGAAGATGCTCCTTCAGGTGTGGGGACTCCCGGTTTTAATGCTTTAAAAGGTAAACCCAACACCTTGAATGGAAGCCAGAAAGCAACTAGCAACCAGCCCAAGTCCTTCAAAGCAGGAGTAATTTTGATTCCAGTACTGATGGTGCAGAAACTAACTTTTGAACCAACAAAAACTTCTAGATGCTCTTCAGGGTTAGTCCTATAGAGCATATTGCAATGGTCAATGCAGCATCCTAGAATAGTAGAGTCAGGAGGGGCCAGAGGGCATGATGTAATCAAGACAGAGATAAACGTTGCAAGATTGGGCTGACGAAGGAACAGCCATGGGCAACACCCTACCCAAAGCCCAAACCTTCCGTTGTTCTGCCCAACCCAAGAGAACAGAATAGCTGTTTGTTTCTCTTACTCGAGCCAAAGATGGCCTGACACTGGGCCTCGTAGAACTGGCACACGCCGTTGTAGCAGTAGGCCTCCTCTTTGTGGCAGGGATGCCCATTCTGCAGGGTAACATCTTGCGGGCAAAACGGCGCGGTCCCATTGCAGTACTCCGGAAGGTCACACTCGCTGGCGCTCTCTCGGCACTGGGTGCCTTTGGAAACGAACTAGAACGGGAGGGGAGAAATGGGCCGTGGTCAACTTTGCGAGCCCATTTTGGGACTAATCCAGAAGCATCTGGGAAAATACTCATCCTTCCAGTAGCACCACCCCAGAATAGTGTGGTAGAAACAATGCTTGGCATGCACACCAGACATTTCCAGTGCCCAAAGCATTCCAACCCATCTCAGCGATATTAATCTCAGCTCTAGCAGGTAGGCCGATATTAGTATTCCCATATAGTAGGTTTCATGCTGTCCTTGTCTGTCTTTCTTTGAGTTACTTTCCATGTAAATGGCTCAGGCAAAACCAATAAAGTAGGCAGACAAACGGACGGCAGGAGAGAAGGGGCAGCCGTCGCCCAAGAGAGATTCGGTCCTATTGAACCCGTCCCAGCAGAGTAGAGTTTTCCACGAGGCGTCTGCATCTGGAGCTCAGACATGGCAGTCTAACCACTTGTGTGATTGACTTCCACAAGCAGTGTGGCCAGCAGTAACGTCACAAATTCCTTACTCCTGTCCAAAGGAGAAGGGAAGCACAAGAGAAGTATTTGCGCGGGTCCCACACAAACTTGGCAAGGCAAGTCTGGGGCCAAACCAGCCACTAGACCAAATGGGAAAAGGTACAGCTGCAAACTGCATTTTAAAATATATAAAAATATATAATAAACTCTTCTTGCATGCCACAGTCCTGATAGAAATTGGGCTTATCCATGCTTCCTTTAGATAGATAGATAGATAGATAGATAGATAGATAGATAGATAGATAGATAGATATAGAATTATCAGGATTGTGGCATGCAAGAAGAGTTTACTCCCTTAATGCAGTTGAGAGAACTCCCTCCTCTCTATCGAGATCAGCCTTCCAAAGGGATGGGGGAGCCCCTTCAAGGGCTGCAAGCAGCAGAGGAAGGATGCTTGTTGGGACCACGGCAGGGGAAGGGACGGTCGAAAACCTCTCCTCGTGCCACGTACTCATGGCATGGACCAGGCACCCCGCACAAAGGTCTCGGGCATCACCGGAGTGAGAATTATGTCTACCGATCGCTCTGGGGGCTCAGACCCCACAAAGCAGTGTCCACGGAGGTCTCCAGAGGTGCCCCAAGAAATCCTCTTCCCACCCCCTTAAAGAGGAGGTGAGAGCCACATTGTATTGGTGCCCAGGGGCTGCCCAAAAGGCATTCCTGTGGTTGGCCGTCCGAGGGCAACCTGGCAGGCGTGATTTTGTTCTAGTATCACGTCTGGCATCAAGGCATGCTTGCTATTATGAACTGTGATTTCCCGCCTTGCGGCACTGCATGAATTTTAGAAGTGCCCACTTATTCCAGCTCAGCTGGCTCTCAGGTAAGTAAATTTGGGGCTGCGGGCCGAGATCACTTCACCGCACGGTTCAGGTCGTTTGTGCAAGGACTTCCGGGGAGAAGGCCTTACTCGGCAGTTGTGGCAACAGTCTCCGTAGCCACACTCAGCCCCTGGACGGAGTCGACACGCTCCTGCCTCACAGCACGGATCGGACTTGCACTCCTGCAACAAGAGGGAGGACAAAAGGGAACGCTGATGAGGAGGAAGGGCATCCCGGGGAATTTCTTCACTGCAACACTGGACTGGGCCTCTGGCAGACATGACGCTCAGCCACTGCGAAGGGGCGAGCTGGGTGGCGTCTGGGCTTGCTGATGGGGGGCTGGCAGGCGATCACAGGCGTGGAATGGGTCTGACTGAAGAGGGGCCTTCTCTGCAGCGGCGCCTGTTCTTCGGAGTGATTTCCAGAAGATGCCGCTTGCTCAGCGCATGGGGCTCGATCCCTGACGGGAACACTGGGCAGGCTTGCCGGGAACTCGGACTTGGGGCCATGTCCGTGTGGAGCCAAGCCCAGGGAACCCATGGAATTTCCGCCCCCAAAACATTCCTCTCACACAGTTTCTCACACTGGGAAGAAGGCCCCACAGCTTCTTATGTTCTCATGCCTAAGGTTATTTGATTTGTACCCCGCCTTTTTCTTGCGAAGAACTCACAGGGGCTTACACCATTCTCCTCCTCCTGCTCTCAGTCTTATCCCCACAACAACAACCCTGTGAGGGAGGTTGAGCTGAGAGTCCCTGACTGGCCCAAAGTCCCCCAGCGAGTTGCACAGCTGAGCGGGGCCCAGAACCCAGAGCACCTGAGCCCCAGTCCCAGCCTTAACCACTACACCACACTGCCTATCAAGTTCCCTTTTGCTGTGGTCCAGCAGGAGAACCATCTGACTGTTGGCAGGCACCTCACCTTCCTGAGAAAGCTCCTATGACCTGCCAGACCTCAAATCGGTCTAGAACCTTGCTTCAGCAAGCCTCCCTTCGCGCTGCCCAGCTGCTAACCTCCAGCGATCCGCAGTCGCATTCCTCGCCAGCGTCCACTAGCTTGTTGCCGCAGGACGGGGCGCTGTAGGTCTCGTCCGGCCGGGGAATGTTGAGCAGGCAACTTCCCCCCTTGTTCAGCGTGAGCTTTTCAAAGTCCTCCTCGCTGCAGCTGCTGAAGTTTCGGGCTCCTCTACAAACACGAAAAGTTAGAGCAGTGCTTCAACTGGTCCCACTCAGAGTCAAGAGCTGGGTTTTCAGGCGGGGCTCCCCATGGACTCCCGGGTTTTGAGACTGCCCCCCGTGGGCTCCACAAAGACACCCACCCCACTTTCTCCTCTTGCACCCCATGAGCTTAATTAATGTTCCAACGAATTAGTGAGTGCTGCTGGTTTGAACATTGCGATGGCGGCCTCAGACTTGTAAAGAAGCCAAAAGAAGTTACACGTCTCTGCACTGACTGCGGAGCCGTGCTTTTCTCTGCAAGGAGTGCAGAAACCAAGTGGGCCGCCAGAGAAAGGGGTGGAACAATCCGCTCCTTCTCCACAAACTCACTTATTGGCCTGCAGAGAATCCCTGGCCACCTGTGGCGACCAAGCACATTGGCTTCGGCGAATGGGGCGGCATAAAAATGTTTTAATAAATAATAAATAAATAAATAAATAAATAAATACACGGCTGTGCTAAACTGCTTATTCCTGGCTCTTTTTTGTGTTCATTTGGGGGAGCAGGGATTGGGTTTTCATAAAATATTACACCATGTTCCAGGGCTTCCTCAACAAAAAATGAGGAAGCCACTGCTCTGGGATACATCTACACTAAAAGCTTGCATCTATCCTACACCAGTATCATCGGCTGGGCTCATGTCTCACCCCAAATATTCTAGGGAACTGCTGTTTGTTTGATAAAGGTGCTGAAAATTCTGGAAGAGAACCCTCTATTCCCAACTGCAATTCCTCAAGTTCCCTGTGGAGAGGGAATAGTCCCTAAGATCACAGTCTTACACCTATTAGACACGTTAAAATGTTTGGAATTCCCTGCAATTCCCAGGGAGCATGGTTCCCTCCAGCAGGTGCAGACCTAGTCCCTACCTAAGCAAGCACAAGACTGCACCTTAAGCCAGGCCTAAACATGCCTTCTTCCTTGGGATCACATCTGGGGAAATGTGCAGGAAACGAGCTTGAAAAAGAACAGCAGAGGGCAGCTGCAGGGCTGCTCCATCAGATCAGCTGCATTCAGCTGCTCCATTCCCTGCACTGTCAGCACCCCTGCCTCCTATTCTAAGAATCAGTGGCTGATTTTGCTTCCCGGCCACCTTCCCTGCCCACCCCTTTTTCGTGGTGTCTTTTATATTGTAAGCCGACAGGTTGGGACCATCTTGCTTTTATTGCTCATACAGAAACCACTTTATGAGGCTTTTTGGCTGAAGGACATGGAAAAAGCACTTTAAGTAAGTAAATAAATGATGAGTGTGGATTTTCTTATGCAACTCAAAGCTCTTGGAACTGGGAGTACATGGAAGGAAAGAACCAGCTTTCATTTATTCTGAAGGATGAGATTCCAGCTCTCAGCATGATGTTTTGAAAATACGCGAGCAGTGATTTTAAAAAGACTGCAATGCTCAGGGGTCCCTGGATCCCTCCTCCTCTCCTGTTGCTAGCAATTCTTCCATCCTTCCGAAGACAGATGCGAGCATTACTTACGACGCTCCGGAGTTCATAATGCAGTTCGTTGTTCTGCAGTAACAGTTTCTTTCATCGTCATGATTCATTCCTAGGTTATGCCCCAGTTCATGAGCCACGATGGATGCGAACATCTGCACGCTGATCGTCCCGAACTGCAGCATCATGTGAAAGCAAAGACGCCAATAAGGGAGTGGAGGGCTAAGCTAATCTGAGCACGGACGCAACTCCAGGAGGCTCTCACAGATAGGACCTACACACGCACTCGCACGCACACACATATTGTGCCTGATTGTCGGCTTCTCATGGGCTGCCCTCGGAGCCCTGTTGACTGAGGAGTGAAATCTAAATGCTTGGAGTGGATAAAAAGCACATGCAGCCTCCAAGCGCACAAGAACAGGATGTGACAATCCCATGTTCTTCCAGTGCATATTAAAAGAACAAAGGTTTATCCAGCAGTGGGAGAGAACTGAGGATGGGAGGGGAACTCCCACAAAGAGGCTGAAAGAGGAAAAAGCGTGGACTTACTGCTCGTATGGTACCAAGACAACTCTGATAAAGTCACTATTATTTAATCAAGCTTTTGTTGAACAACCAGCCACATTTTATTGGTAGAACTTGATTTTAAATATTTTGTTCCTTTTGGGGTTTTTTAAATTTACTCTTCACCATTATTTTAGGTAAAGGGCAGTTTCTGCATTTTGCAAAGAAAGGGTTGCAGATTTTTGTACAATCCCCAAGAGAACCCCGTTTACGAGCTCTTCCTCTCTGGGATCAGCACGGAGCCATTCCAGTCACAGCACACAATAACCTGGTCCCTGCAACCACTAGAGCCTTCCATGGTTTATTTAGACATGTGTAACATTTCATCAGACCAGTGATTGTGGCTTGTTCTTTCATTCAAGCCCTGCAAGCGTGGATTGTTGCCATGGTTAACAAACCACCCAGAACCCATGGGCTGTTTTAGGGTTGTGTGTGGCTTGTTACCCACCCTCACTGGCTTTGAATAATGCAACAAACTGCAGCGGTGGCTTGAATGTTCACAATGCCTGCCTGCACACTGCACGGTGGTTTAAACAAGCCACACGGATCGTGCGAACCGTCCTGAAGTCACTCACTTTTACACTCTGGCGTAAAGCCAATCAGCAATTTTAACATGGGCACATGCCAACCCATGTTAAAGTGAAGCTACCGGATTGTTGTGTCCACCCCAAATGCATTCTGCTACAGACGTAAACACAATCACACCTTAACTCAATGAAGGCGCAGTTAATGACATCTTACCACATTAATCCCTCCGGCATGGCTCTTGGAACACACCGTCCCCACGTAGGCCATCCCTGCTGTTCCGCCAAACCCCTTCTTCCTAAAATACCCCGGGAAGCCCCACCGAGACAGACAGGTGAGAGATCTAATGGGCTGCTTCGAGAGGCAAACTACGATCGCCTGTCTTAAGTCACAAGTATCACCCAAGCACACTGTGCTGTATGTGCACTGATCGTGCTCTACGAAACATCCGTGTTCATTCATTTGGTTTCATTCTTAAACAAGAACGTGGAATTACAGGGAAACCCTGACGATTAGGGTAGCAAACAAGTTTAAAAGGTTCAGAAAGCGAGGCTCCACTGCCACATTTTCAGCAGGGTGAAATCTCATTTAAGAAATGTAAGAAATAATATGGAAGGGCTGCACTGCGGAGGAGCACTGCTGTAAGAGCAGCCAGGCTGGATCAGGCCCAGGGTCCAGCAAGCTCATGTTCCCCAGCAACAGGGTGCACAGGCGTACCACCTCCAGTCCCGGGTGCATTCAGGTGACCCAAAGGCCCACCTTGCAGACAAACGACACATGCAGGTCCTTCCCAACACAACCCAGGGTGCTCCCGAGATGCTCACAAGCTCTTACGGCCACAGCATTTCCCCCCTTTTTCCCCTCCCCTTTCTTAATTTTGCAGGGATCCCAATGCTCAACCTCCAACATGACTTTTGGTAACACCGCCTTCAAAGAGTCTAACTGCCACATCACTGGCTCGTTGCCCTTTTTTAAATTGTGCCCAAAATTTGCACTTTAAAAAAAATAGTCGCAGAAAACCTCAGTGCTACTATTTGGAAGCCTCATTCTTATCTCATCAATGCCCTGGAAGGCTACTTTCCTTCTCACTGGATGGCTGTAAAATGGGAAGCTGTTGAGTTAGAAGTGAAATCGCACAGAGACCTTCGCTTGTGAAAAGGGTGGACATATAGATCACCCCCTTCCCAGCGAGGGCCCCCATTGCTGGTTTGACTGGACCTGGTCTCAGCTCCCGCCACCCTTTCCACCCCTTCCACCAGGTGTTCCTGAAAGTGGAAAACTGCAAGCCACTCCATTCACAAGAGCATGGAGTGTGGACAGCTGTTGAAACACAGGCTTCCGGTTAAAATGGTTGTTTTGAGAGGGCTAATGGGGAATTTTTGACAGAGGTAGGTTCATGTTATAAGGACCCAGCCAATGGCATTCCCGAATTCCCCTTAATAACACAGTTCCCATTTCCTGGTGGGTGGAGAAGAGGCGTTTTCATTACTGGGTTTCTCTTTGTGGCCAGTATCAATTGCTCTTTCACGGTTTTCCTTTCAGAACGAGGGAGGGAAACCCAGGTCTTACAGAACAAACTGTGCGCTGTCGTGCCTCCGGCGTGGGACGAGATCCTGTTCGCGCCACTGCACGAAGTTGGCGAGAACATCCGCTGCCCCGCCTTCGAGGCGGATCTTGTTCTGCACCGTCCAGATCTCCAAGCCGACCAACACGATGCGGATGTTCAACATCACGTACATCTGGAAAAGCAGAGCGGAAAATGGAACACGGGGCAGAATTGGAACGAGTACAGGACTGCCAAAGCTCCGATGTCTATTTGGCCAGGAAAAGGTCCTACGGTTGGTTCCTAGCAAGCCCCGGCCCGAGCGGGGAGCTGCAGGGGAAATGTCTCTCTGTTGCCCTGGCAGCTGGACGCAAGTTCTTCACTTGAGAGTGACGTGTGCCTCCCGTTTTAAACCAGAAAAAACACTGCACCCCACCCAATTATTGTAAAGATGTTAAGGCCACCCTTCAGTGTAAGAATCGGGGTGGTCTTCCGTGAAATCATAATAAGAAAACAGCAATATAAAATGTAGCACCACTTCCCAGGATGCTTCAGCCGAGGAATGTGCCACCAAAGGTGACCCCAGCAGCCACCAACCACGAGGGTTTCAATCGGGGATTAGACAAAGGGAGGATCAAGCTGCCAGTGGCTACTGGTCGCAATGACCACATGTTACCAGCACGAGAACCATGTGGCTGGGGGGCGCCATGAAGGAATGCTCTGAAACAATGACCTCTTTCTGGGCTGCCACAAGCACCCGGTGGAAAGAAAACGCTAGAGTACACAGGCTTTGGGTCCAATCCAAGCGCCTTCTTATGGCCCATTTTGGAACATCAGCCAAAACCCAGGGTTAGGGATAAGAGTGGATAGGATCTATTTAGTCATGCACTTCACTTTTTGTGTGGACCACCTGGGCAAATAGGCATTTCTGCTTGCCACTGAAAAGACAACATGGTGCCAGGTGGGAATCCCCAGGGAAGGCCTTCCATGAACAACAAAATTGCATGATTCAGTCGTCCTTCTTGCAGAATCCAGGTTTACCTTCCCACAAACTTCCTTTATTGTTTACTTAAATACAGAATACACAGTGGCTTGAATAAAGGGAGCGCAGGAAAAAAGTCAGCACAGACTGAATTCCAATGCCCGTTCCGTTATCACTGCATAAACCACAAAGCTTCCACTTACACTGTCCAAGTAGTTGGCCAACTGCACCATTTCTTCTCTTACAGCAGTTTCATTCTGACCCAACAACTGGTACTGCCAGGGAAAGACAAGGTTAGGCATGGCAAGAAAGTGGGATCTTTCCTCTTTGAAAACAGCTGCCTGCAATCTCAGAGACCTGTGCTTAAAATCTGCCTAAAATCAGGGTGTGCTTAGCGAGTTTCCAGATGCTGCTGTTCTCCAGAGCCAAGTCACGGAGGCAGAGGAGACCGATTTCGAAGTCCAGCTAAGTCCAGGCCTCTGCTCGGTGCAGCAATTCGCCAGCGGACGGCCCAGTCTCTGCTTGAAGAACTTCCGCAAGGGAGCAAACCCCACCCAGAGGGCTCCTCTGTCCCACGGCCACCCGTGCCTTTTCATCAGGAGAAGGGAGGAAAGCTTCCTTCCCCATTTGAGCAGCCTCGCTCCTGTGGACTGCAGCTGATCCACACGGATCATCCGAGGGGAGAGGATACTTCGGCTGGTCCGGAACAGAGCCGCCGGGCTGCTAACAGGGTAAGAGTGGATAGGATCTATTCAGTCATGCACTTCACTTTTTGTGTGGACCACCTGGGCAAATAGGTATCTTTGCTCGCCACTGAAAAGACAACACGGTGCCAGGTGGGAATCCCCAGGGAAGGCCTTCCATGAACAACAAAATTGCACGATTCAGTCTTCCTTCTTGCGGAATCCAGGTTTACTTTCCCACAAACTTCCTAGGTATGAACACATAACACTGGCCCTTTTCCACCTACACGGGCTACCAGTCGAAGCCCGGGTCCAATTTAAGGTGCTATAAAGCCCTAAACGGCTTAGGACCTGGTTACCTGAAGGAGCGTCTCCTTCCATATGTGGCTGCCTGCCCCTTAAGGTCTGGGGCAGACGCCCTTCTCTGGGAGCCCTCCCTGAAGGAGATTAGGAGGGTGGCTACCTGGAGAAAGGCCTTCTCTGCGGTGGCACCCAGATTGTGGAACACGCTTCCCAGAGAGGTCCATCTGGTGCCGTCACTTTATTCTTTTCGGCACCAGGCTAAAACCTTTTTCTTTTCCCAATGTTTTAAGACCTCACTGTTTTAATTGGGGTTTTATCGTTAGTTGAAATGTTAGGTAGCTGTGTCTTATTTTGCATTTTGTATTGTTAAACCATCCTGAGACTTTGGTAATGGTATGGTCTAGAAAAGTTTTAAATAAAATAAATAAATTTTCCCTGCACTGTGTTGAGTCTGGGAAAAAAATTAGATTTGATCTGAAACTGATCAGAGATAAGTTTTCAGCCATTTCCTGCTGGGGCAAAACAACTTGGGAATGCTGGATTCCTCAGTTTTGAGTCTGCACTGAAAGGCATGAAAAGTCATGCGAACGTTTGGTGGCAAATGTTGTTAGAGAAAAGAGCAGAAGAGCAGACAACAGCTGCCCCAAATCTAACGGGAGCGAGACGGAATTTCTTAGCTCCAGTTTTGCTAGTGAGCCAACCAGGACAGCTTGCTGGATAAGCAGCACTCCTCTTTCCCGGAGAGGACGGAGAACGGCAGAAAATAACAAAGCCTCTTGTTCCCCTCGGCTTATTGAGATCCTTCCTCCCGCAGCACTGCTGGGAAAGTGTGCTGGCGGGGAAGCACTGGGGCAAAGCGGAAAGACGCGGGTGCTCGCTGGGGCCGAGGAGGCCTGCGTTCTCCAGCGGAGAGAAACGAGGGCGGGACACTGGAAATGGCCACGGCGCAGACCCATCTGCTCCAGGGCTGGGGGGCGGACACATCCTGCCAATGGACGGCTGCCATATTTTGGACTGGAGGACATCCAGCTTCGACCCAGGGAGAGTGAACTAGCCTCAAGAAAACATGTTTGCAACACATTTTGGCCCAATACGTAAACCGTTTTTCCAGCATCTTGGGACTTGCTCTCTCCTTTCGGATCATGTTTACAGGAACCTTCCATAACCCAGCAGTCTCCAAATGTGCTGGACTACAGCTCCCATCATCCCTGGCCAGAATGGCCACTGGCTGTTTCAGATAATTCGGTGAGCACCAAAATCATACCCTTTCTTTGTCCACAACTATAAAGAGCTCCACGTATCTGGTCTGGAGGAGGACTCCTCGTTTTCTCTGCAGGGAACAAGGAAGGGGTGAAGTTATAAGACGCTAGATCTTTTCTTCCAATTCCTCGGTTCAAACCCGAGCGATGTCACTACAGCCCACATTCCCATTTTCTACTCATGACACAGCCGGAATGCGGGGATACACGCCCAGGACAAAGAAAGCCAAAACATTCCTAACAAAAGACATCAATTCCTTTCTTTCCTTTTTTTCATGAATGCTAGATCAAGATTTGGCACTCAGTCTGGCCAAGCGAAATGAGAGCCCAAAGGAAAAACGAAATAGGAAGACATGAAAAGTGCTTCAATCGCTTTCCTTTGATTAGTTAGGAAAGAGCTTTATGACCTGCCTTCCAAGTTATATATGACATTTTCAAGGCAGAATTAGAGGAGCAGTACCCATGACTGGATCAATGGTGGATTTCATATTACATCAATAAAAACAAGTTTCTAGCTCTTATGAACAGCATATGTAGAGGTCCTGAATCACCTCTTCATTACTGGTACAACTCCCATCCCTTTTTATGAACCCTTCCATTCCATCCCTTCTGTGCAACCCAAGTGACTTCTCACTATTTACTCAAACCATCCAAATTCTTTGAACAATTACTCTCAGACACATTTTTGTTTTAAGTTCAGAGAAAAAAAAACAATCAGAGACATGAGAGTTTTTTTTTCTGGGACTGCAATCATAGCCCTGTTAAGAGCAAGTCACCCTCTCATTCCACCAGTAGAAACAGAAGTTTGGGGAGCAGTCATTTCTATGCTTTATCCTGAGAAAATAGTTGAACAAACTGATCTGAAACTCAGCAGTATCGAAGAGGAGGGTTTGAGGAGGGCCTGTGCCGATTTGGAGCTAGAAAGACCAAGAAATGGCTTGTTTATAGGAGCTTAAAGTTTGAGGAATGCCCCCTAGCAGTTTGACCAATATGGCCTGCTTGCCCCCGATGTGGAGTTCAGTGTGCTGGCCGTGGGCACAGCTTCTCTTGGAAAACAGTGTGTCAGGGAGAAGGAGCACCACACATCTATAGTTTTGTCAAATCTGACGTTTCTTACCCCGTTTTATAAACATAAGCCTGACAGGGAAGGATGACTAGAGAAAAGGCTCTTCTCTCATTGAGTTCACACAGACCGAGGTGCTGTGACTTCAAAACATTTATGCCTTCGTACACTGTCAAATTGCAGAAGTCACTGGCATAAGATATGAAGATGCCGGGGGCTTAGAGAGAGCGTCTTTCCTTTGCCCTTCCCATCCCCCTTTCCTTGCATGTCGTGACTTTTTCGAGTGAAACCCTGGGACGGGAATACGGAAGAGCTCGATCAGGACCCCTGGAGCAGCTTTGCCCCCGGCCATGAGGGTCTGTACCCAAGATCAGACTGAATGGTTGATGATCAGAGTCTGACCCTGAATACCACCCCCCCCCCCGCAAATGCTGCAAACAAGCTAAGTCCATGTGGGTCTCCCTCCTTGATCATCCACAGACATGCTTCCTATTCCGAATGCTCAGTCTGGGAGTGCCTACACGTTTGCAGCCAGAAAAAGCTGCCGGGGGGGTAGCAACAGGGGAGGGACCCCAGTTTTTCAGAAATGCCAAGCAGCCTTTAGCTTACAAAGAATCCCTAAAAGTGGGAAGGGAGCCAAAAGCCGACAAATGCAGACGGAGTTTGGAGGGTGGGCTTCGAATGCTGAATGACCGCTTCATGGATGGAGCGGAAGGAAGTACAGTAAAACCTTGGATAGCGAGCATAATTCGTTCCGGAAACATGCTTGTAATCCAAAGCACTTGTACATCAAAGCGAATTCCCCCATAAGGTTCAACGTAAATAAGGTTAATTCATTCTGTAAGTTTTTTTTTTAATCACAAAAATTTGAAGCAGCCACACGCGATGTGGGGAGGTGGGCGCGATCGCGGGCATACCGGGTACGGGGAGACGAGGCTGCACTCACACCCACAGCGAGAGAGAGAAGAACCAGCGTTCGGTTGTGACGTGGCGCTTGGCGGGCAAAGCGCGCATAACACTCGTGCAGCAAGACGTCGCTCGTTTAGCAAGTTAAAATTTAGAAAAACGTTTTGCTCGTCTTGCAAAACACTCGCAGACCAAGTTACTCGCAATCCAAGGTTTTACTGTAGTTGGAATTCTGCAGAGGGAGCAGAATGCTTTTCAAACGTTTTCATGCAGGCCCACTCGTTAAACAAATCCCAAACTGTACAAGGAGAGGATGCCCACTGAAGACTTACTCTCAGCAGCTGAGTCATGCTGGGAGGGTGCGGATGGGAGTTTTCCCATTTTCGGTCCAGGCCCGTGACCCCACAAGCCATGGGCTCCTTCTTCACATTCTCCATTCGGTAAATGAGGTGTTGCAAACCAGAGGGTGATTCCGTGGGTTCGATCCCATAGGTGATGTTCTCGATTTGCAGTAAGCCCCTGGCAACGACATAACCTCAGGTGTCAAAATCATTGTTCCCACGGAGGGGTGGGAAAGTCTAAGCAAAGCCATGGGAAAACCAGCCTTTGGTGAAGGAGACGACGGTCCCAGTCCCAAGACACACAGCCCTTCTTGGACTGTACCAAATCCAACTGCGGAGGAGGGAGGGGGCCTGAGGAATGCCAAACCCAGAGGGTCCGCATCCCGCCCAAGGGCTGTCTCTTAGCCTAACCAACTAGCCAAAGCTGGTCCGTGATGATACAACGGCCGATGCAGAAGGCCCCTGCTACCTTCAGCGCCATAAAAATTAGGATAGGAAACAAGTCACAGAGAAGAAGCGCACAAAGCTGCAGGTGGAAAGACGACGTTTGTGCCAATGTGTGGAGGGAAGGGCTTCCCCCGCGTGTGCAGAACAGGAAGCGGGGTTCTGGGCAATTCCCCAGATAATTTGCACTAAGGCAAGGCTCTCTGACTCCCAGTAGCAGCTGGGACAGGTGCTTTTCCTCTCTTGCCCAAAAGTTTGGTCTCCGTTCACACACCACACTAAACTCTGGTTTATTTCAGGGAGGAGCGACATGCAGTCTGCGGCTGCCTGCTCCCCCCACTGCCCCCAGACCAGGGAAAGGAAAAAAAGGGGCACCTGCAGAGCACTTGAAGTATGCAAATTAGCTTGTTTTCAAGCAAAACTTCACCATTTAATACTTCCAGTGCTCTCCAAGTATTATAGACACTATTTTATATTTGTGTTTATTTAATTTTCTAGCCCTTGCAGAAGGTGTACAGCCAATAGGCATGGGGGAGGGTTCAAAATGGCTCCAAGAGTCCCCACCTTGGTTCTTGCTCCAGCCACAACTGACCTGGTTCACACAACACAAGAACCCACTACGGGGAACTTGCCACAGGTGTCGTCCGAATAAATACCACTTGCTCACGGTGGCTTATTCTGAGGGAACAAGCCCTTTGAGGGCCTGAAGCAAGTTGTGGCTTCTATTAGTGCTGTACAGCTGGTTAACAAACCATGGTTGCTTTGCAGGGAATCCAGACACAGCAACAAGCCAGGCTGCAACAGACTGAAGTCTTTTCTACCAGGCCCTGGTAGGTCATTCCCAGGTTTCTATAAAAATGGAAGCTGATCTGCTGGAGGCTGTCCTCTCCAAGACCAGAATTGCAGGAAGCAAGAAGGAAAGAGGAGGAGAAGCCAGCATTCCTGTGGGGCAGATATGGCAGCTTCTCTGCCCTGCCCTGTGTATCCTCTCGGAAGAATGCGCAGGAACGCATCGGTTACCTGAGTCCGGAACAAGTGCTGATAGCAGCCATGGAATCCAATATGCCTTCGACATATCCCTGGTAGTGGCAGTGACCCTAATGGGGTGCAAGGAAAAGAAGAAAACTAAGCAAAGGTTTCACAGAACCATTTCCACTGCTCAAAGGTTTGGGGGTTGATATCACGCAGGATCCCCAAGTAAAGAAACTGGGCTGCAGCTTCACAGCCAAAGTGCATCCCAATCCTATGCCTATTTTACTCTGAAGTAGACCCTGGTGTCTTCCTCGGGGCTTACTGCCTGGAAAGGGAGCTTGAGATCACAGGCTTAACAGGTGTTAAACTGGTTTACCTGTCTGGACTACTTCTAACCTGATGGGAACCTTCTCTCATAACACATTTGCTGGCCTTTCGGGAACATAAGAAATTAGACCCTGTTGTTGCAAGCAGTCCTTCCCCTGCACATGTCCCTCTCTGGCAGATGGATGCAGCCTTAGAAGCACCGTCCTTTATTTCAGCTGAACAGGTAATAAGCAGCATCAATCCAAGCGATGTTCTCTTTGAAGCGTAAGAATAGCGCTTATCATCTCACCGGCTCAAGAAACTTCCCCCTTCATTCCCCAGCTCCCTGTTCTGAAATGCCTCCCTCTTTTTCCCAAGGCAGGTTGTTTCTCACCCTCCATCGGGAAATCTTCACAAGACAACCTTGGAACTGCCCCCCTCTGTTCCCACACCTTCCCCTGAGACTCTGAAGAATCCACCTGGGGGGACTGCAACTCGAGAGAGCTGGGCCCCCTCTCTACGCCTTTGCCCATCTAACCTGGTAGAGTCAGCATGAACTGGCAGAGGCTCTCCAGGGCTTCTAGCAGGAGCCGTCCCAGCCCAGCCTGGGAACACCAGGGAAATCACCACCTCTTAAATGGTCACTGCTTAACGATTCTTTTAGACAGACCCTTGTGTTGCGCAGGCTGGACGACACGGGAGCTACGAGGGTGGGGACGTCTGGGTGGACATGCCCTGTTCGCAACATCCCCGCGAAGGAGAACCTCTCCAGAGCTTTGCATGGCTGGCACGAAGGCTGGCCGGACAGATGGCCTGCCTCCCCGTCTTCCAGCAATTCGGGGTTCCACTGACAAGCTCATTCGGTGGACCCTCTGTGGGTGCTGGGGGGGGCGCTGGCACACCCCCTGGTTAACCCTCCCACGTGCAGGCTGAATGCTTCCCAAGGTCTAATATACCTGCTCTTCCTCTTAACAGTCCCAGTGCGTCCATTTCCACCTGAAATTGGCCGTGAGGAGTTCGTAGGTCACTTCGCAGGTGGGGAGAAAGGAGCAGCCAGCAAGTCACTAACGGAGCGATCCAGTGCACAGTAAGGCAGGCACCCCCATGCCTACAACTCCCAGCATGCCTCAGTCAGCGGAAGCATCAGAAGATGCCCTGAGAATACGACCCAGTGCACACAGAAGTGAGTCGCACCTGGTTCAGTGGGGTTGACCCAGAAGTCAATCTGCATCAGTCGTAGGCTATGCAGGCACCCATCCCTCACACTTTCTGGATCATTTATGAACGCAATTAGTCTAGCAGGGAATACGGGAGTGAGCCCAAAAGTATTCCCTGTCACCAAGGCAGTTTTCCCATCTGCAGTCCAGCCAGGCTGAAAAACACCGTCACGCTTGCCAGGTCAAAAGGCCCCGATGAGCACGTGCACAGACGACCCAGACCGGCACCTGAATCGACAGAAGGAGCTAAGCTGCAGAAAACCATGCCCTGCCTGACTGCCAGATGCCCTGCGATGGCTGCTACTGTGGACAGCGCATCTCAAGAAGCAAAGCACCTACTTTCTTCCGACACGCCCCCTGCCGAGGTGCCCACGGGAGCGGGGTTGCTGCTGGGCTCCACCAAGCCGCCTTCCTGGTGACCCCAGGAATGGCTGCCCTCTGAAAGCCCTGCCCGTGACAGCCCCGCTCGGCTCCTCTCGTGGAGGCCCCCATCTCTTCGCTGGCCTCCCTCTTCTCCCACCTCGGACCCCCTCCAGCACAATGGTCTTCCCCAGGGAGCCTCACCCTTGCGTGATGAGCCCAAAGCCGAACAGTGCGTCAGTTTTGCCATTCTTCCTTCTAGGGAAAGTTCTGGCTTGATTTGATCTAGAACCCGCTTCCTTGTCTTTCTGCTGATCCGGGGTATTCACAAAGCTCTCCTCCAGCACCATGTTCCAGACAGATCCATTTTCTTCCTCTCCACTTTCCTCCCTGTGCAGCTTCCACACCCCAAATGTAATACTCTTTACTTGCTGCCCAAACAAAGCAGCGCAATTTCTGAATGGCTGCCTGTGGCTAGCTGGGAAACTAACATATCGTTGTCGTAGTAAGAGCTGCAGTAAGCGATCCCCGTCTCTGGGCAAGCTGCCACATAGCTTTTGCCTTGCACGACTGTTTCCAAAGCGATTTCCAGGAAGGCAGGCATGCAGAAACTGCCTGATCAGGTACAAAGGGGAACAAAAACACACCAGGAGTCGACTGGTGCCAAGCCCCTGGAACGCCAAAACACCGTCTTCCGGCTTTCCAGCACATTGCCGAATTTCTGGAATGTAGCGAGGGCCATTTTCTTAAACAGCTCGCCAAAGGAGATTAATGCCAATTCACGTAGAACAAAGATGGGTGACAAAGAACCTTCCAGACGGGATTTGATCTCTCGTGGTATGCAATGCCCATAATCCCTGCCATTGCTTACGCTGGCTGGGGCTTATGGGGGTTGGAATTCGGGAAAATCTGCAGGGCTACAGTTTCCCTACACCTGATGTAAGAGGAGAGGCCAGACAGAGAATATGCAGCAACCGTCATTAAAAAGATAACTAGTGTGGCATTGAGGCCGGAGTGATCGTCCCCAACCAGATGGCCTTCTGGATATGCTGGACTGCGATTCCCCTGCAGTCCAGCAGAATCTGGAGGGGGCTAAATTGGGGAGGGCTGTGCTGAACTGGGATTCAGGAGAGGAGGGAGAGAGTGCGGGAGAAAGAAGAGGGCACAGTATGTGCTATAGGGTGCATTTTATTAGAAGGAGCTAATGAGCTGGACCTTTGCTGGAGAGACTTGAGATTGCATGAGAAAGGGGAGAGAGAGAGAGAGGGAGAGGGAGAGGGAGAGGGAGAGGGAGAGGGAGAGGGAGAGGGAGAGAGAGAGAGAGAGAAGCAACCCATTTCACATGTAACAGTTAACTCTGGGTTAAGCAGCAATCACACTGCCCTCTGCAGGCTCATCACTTCCAATTTCAATATAACAGTGGCTGCACTGTTATTACCTCTGAACCCAGAACTCAAGGTTCTCTGGGGATTAAACAGTCTGAAGTTAAGCCAACAACAAACCATGGGCTATCATTGTGTTAACCTGGATTGTTTCACTCTAAACAACCCAGAGTTCTGAGTTTGGATACAATAACAACCTGGGACTTCCTAGGTTGTTGACTGAAAGCAGAAGCAACAAACACATGAGAGCCAGCACGCTTACTCCCGAACGCAGAAGCAGAGCGAGTCGGAAGGGGCCTCCCGGGCCATCTAGTCTGACCCCCGGCTCCAGCCGGCTCCACCCATGACATGCCCACCATGTGCATGTCCAGCCTGTCCTTGAACACCTGCACCGATGGGGCCTCAACCACCTCCCGTGGAAGCCCATTCCACACCCTCGGGGTCCTGACTGTCAGAAAGTCCTTCTTGGCATTCATTCATTCATTCAAAGCTTTTCTATGCTGTCCAATACCAGATTCTCTGAACAGCTTACAAAAAACAAACACACACAACGTACCAACAAATGACACACTGCATCTGACCATTAATGACAAAAAAAAGAAAAAACCAATTAAATGTTAAAATGTTGGGAAAATAAAAAGATTTTCGCCTAACACTGGAAAGAATAAAGCATGGGTTCTCAAACTATGGCCTGCAGGCCGAATCCAGCCCGCCTCAGCCCGCCTCAGAGGATTTGGACTCGCCCGGAGAAAATGCTGATTCGATGCCTACAGAATACTGCAAAGGGCTTGGAAGCACCCAGAAGCCACCTGCTCTTACTCTGAAGGAAAAGTAGCTCTGTCTGAAAACATCTTCCTGTTCTGGCTGGATCGCCAGGGGAAACAAAATACCCCATGGCTGCTGTTTTGCCCCCAAAGGTGCTGCTCGAGGTAAACGCAGGGCCGGCTCGACCACGAGACCGAGGGAGGCAGAGAGCTCAAGCTCCTCATGCTGGACTGAAGCAAAGGGAAGCGAACGTGTGTATCTGATGCACTGTTGTGCTGCTGTAATTCTCGGAGAGAGCTACTAATGCACGTGGGTTTCAGTTTTATGCCTTGGGTGCCAAAATAAAATCACTTGCCAGTCTCAGGTAATATGAAGCTTGACTGGAGGGGCCACGGAGATACAGTTTGCTCTTCTGAGCTAGCAACTTGCCCTGACTGAGCCCCGCGTGAAAGCAGCACTTCTGAGCGCAACTTGCAGTCTGAGGATGGGCGTCCGCAGGGACTGGCCCCATCCAGGCCAGGTGCACAGTGGCGCTGCGTATTTCTAGATTTAGGGAGGGCTTCATAGGATCGCTCTCGCACCAGCCAGTTCTAGCCGTGCTTCAGCAGGCAAAGGTGTCGCTACAATCCAGAAAAAGTCTTTACGCTTTGATTCTGAATGGGGCCTCAGACCACCTCCAAACGAGAGCGAGGCTCCCCAGAAACCGTTTTTCTAGCTCAGGGACGCACATATGCCAAACGTACCTGAAGATCTGGCGTGTCGGAACGCAGTGTCCCATCTTCATTATATGTATAAACTGTGAAGTCTTTGGGCAAAAGTTGTCTGAAACGAGATGTGAGGGTGGGGTAGGAAAACCATTACACTAGAGCAGCTTTTAGAGCAACATGAAAATAGAACTAACTCCAGGAAAGGGGAAGCAAAAGAGCTGGCTGGCAGAGCGGGAGGGGAAGAAAGCAGCCAAGCCAGAGATCAGGGGAGAGGACTGGGGTTCGACATGGTCAGTCCATCCGCAAGCCCTCAATTCGCTGCTGCCTCTCCTTCACCCCCCACTCTGCCCCAGAGGTCATCAGCAACGAGTCAAGCCAGCAAACCTTGGGATGATGCGTATATTATCACATTTACAATCTGCCTTTTTTCTTCTTGCTAGGAACCCAAGGCAGCGGGCAAGGTTCCTCCTCCTCTCCATTTTACCCTCCGCACAACAGCCCTGTGAGGTAGACAGGGCTGAGAGTCCACCCAGTAAGCTTTATGGCCAAGTGTGGGACGAGAGCCCGGATTGCCCGAGTCTCTAGCCTGGCCTTCGCACCACCAAGCCACAGTGGCTCGGAACAGGAGCAAGAGCCGTTCGCTGGCTCTCCAGAGCAAGCAAGCAGAAACGGTGAGGAACTGGAGCAACTGGGGATGGGGGCCGGGAGCGAGGGGGCTGCATGAGGGTGGGGGACCTCCCCAAGAGCCCCTCCACAGCTGCAGCCCACCATCTCTTCCCTTCGCCACAGCCCAGAAACAGATCCTGGGATTTTGCAGCATTTCCACCTAAGCAGTCCTGAGGATGAGAACGCAGCGGAGCTTTCTGCACTGAGGCTGGAAAGGTGGGGCGGGACGAGGGGATCAGAGACGCCGTGTGTGGCAGACTTCGCCTTTACTTCCTCCTTTTCCACTTCAGGTGTGGAGGGAGATACACGGCTCTTGCTCTTCTGGCAGCATCAACCACTGTGATGCGGTGCTTGTTGCGGGGCATCTTTAACGTTGCCCCCCATCTTTCTCGGGCTCCCCCTCACGCTCTCTGGCCTTCTCCCCTTTCTGTGTATGCCTTGGACAATACGGACTCCTAAGACGTCCTCCCCAGCTGAGCAGCCTTTGTATATAACTGGGGATGGGCTCTATTCCACCTCTTATAATCTCATTCCTGATTTTATCCCTCATGGCCACTCCAGCAGCTTTCCTCAAACGTCTCATTTCCACGGCGACTAACTTTCATTTATGTTTTGTTGTCAGTGCCCATGTTTGACACTTGTAGCACAGGATGGGGATGAACATGTTTTGTATGAGACGCCTCAGTTTATATCAAGTAGCACCGACACATTTCTGTTCTTCTCATGAAAGACGCTGCTAAACATGAAATCAGCCATCTTCCTGGGAAAGCTGCTTTGCTTCCCAGAGGTAAGTCAGCGTGTCATCACAAGGGCAAGCCAAAACTGTTTTGCAAGCGTCTGCGAGGGAAGCAGAGGAGACGGGCAAAGGAATCAAATCAAGCATTGCTCTGTTATTATCTTGGATGTCTCTCCTGCAACCTGGACAGAAACCACAGTGAAGGTCACTTTCAGGGGAAAGAAGCAGCTGGGTCAGTTCCATGCAGCCTGGCAGAAACAGAAAGAGGGAATTTGGCCCAGCGCTGCAAAACAGGAACCACTTACTTGTTTCTTTCTAGATGTAGTATATGTTCCCGTCCTTCTACTGCAATGACATATGATACTTCCTCCTCAAAAGAAGGAGAAAATGTTATCAGCAGCGTCTCCAGGTACCATCCACAAACTCCCTGCCTCTGCTCAATGATTAATTGCTTCCCAATTAAGCAAACTCAAATTCTCCTGCAGCATTCGGGCCCTTCGGGTACGAGTCCACACCTTCTCCCTGTGTGTGCAGACAAAGAGCTGATACAGGGAAAATGACAGCGCAGGGCAGGGCCTTTTCAACAGTGGCACCCTGTGCCTGGAAAATCCGTCTGCTCTCTCCCCTGCTTTCAACTCAGGTAAAAACAGAGTTTTTTTCCAAATTTGTGTTGTATTTATTATACTTTTCTCCTCCAAAGAACTCAAAGTAGTTTTACATCATTCTCATCTTCCTCACAATCTTACACTCTTAAAAATAATCTTGTGAGCTAGGTTGGGCCCAAAGTCTCACCAGAGCTCCACCGTTAAGGGAGGACTGGAACCCAGTCCCAGTCCCTCCCTCTTAAATCTCTGCACTACGCTTTTGATGGCTTCGTGCCGAGACATTTGCCTGTTCTAGCATTTTGCTCTGCTAAGTGTCCCTGGCTGATTTCACACATGCGCGTATATTCAAGCATTAAGGTCGTTTCAGACTGATTTTTATTATAAGTTTTCACAGCCTCCAAGGCAGCTTAAATGCTGCAAAAGGCCAAACGAGACAATGCTAAGACAAGACACAAGCCATTCTTCACCTGGAGTGAAACCCTAGCCCTGCCGTTCTAATGTTTAAAAAAGAGGCAGACTCTTATCAAGTCAAAACGCTTTGTCTTGACGATGCGCGTCAATTATTATTTTGTGTGCAGAAGAAGAACGCGGAGTGCCCCACTGAGATACCTGTGCCGATCCGGAACTGGGCACTTCTCGGCGGTCTCTCGTTACTCTCTTTGGGACAGTGATTTCATAGGAAGACAGATGAGATAACGGCTGAAAACCTACAAAGTTAAAAAAAAGTATTAGAGTTGATTCCTCGAGGGCACCAAATCTGTTGCCCAGCCCTGCCATGTCATACCTTCCAGAGGCTGAGGCAGAAGCATAGAAACTGAGCGAGTCAGAAGGGGTCTCTCGGGCCATCTAGTCTGACCTGCGGCTCCAGCCGGCTCTGCTCACGACACGCCCACCATGTGTTTTCAAGGGCCAATAATGCATTGTAGGATCATCATAGTTTTGATTAATTACATTTCTATACCATCCAATAGCCAAAACTCTCTGGGCAATTTGCAAAAGAAGAAAACCTTTAAACATATGAAAGGAAACGCAATATAAAAGCCACTTGGATGGAAACTGATTTGAGGCACTCCAATACAAAAATTCCCAGGACTGATTCAAAGCTGATCTCATGCTGTCATGAGTAAAGCCTCGTGCCGGTTCTGCAGGGCTGGCACTGTTGGCACCAGGTGAGCTGGGTGCAGAGAGCATTCCACGAAGGTGGGGCCACCACCAAAGAGAGCTTCCCCCTTTTTGACATCCTCCAAACCTCCCTCAGAGGATGTTTTGATAGCAGATGTGTTGCTGAAAGAACAGCCACTCTCCTTGCCCGTAAATCAGCTGGAGACAGCTTTGTGGCAGAGGAAATCAATGCACTGCACAGCAGCTCTCCCCAACCTGGTGCCCTCCAGGAAGGTGAGGAAGCGTTCTGTGAGAACTGCGATGTTCCAAGCATCTCTTGTATTTGCAAACTGTTGTTTGCCTTGTCGTATCTGTAAAAATTGCCCATAGGGACCTAATGCAACACGAGAACACAAGGAGGCCTTCACCAGGTGGAGGGCCATGTCAGAATCCCAGTAACGCAACCCAGGATGAAACACAGCAGCACCAGGCGGTCCAGTTTCTGATTAGCGTTCCCAGGAGTCTAGAAGAGCTGCAGGACAACTGCCTGGGACAGCTCAGAGAGACAGAATACGCAAGTTCCTCGAGCAAGTGGTCGCCTTAAATCCTGGACAGGAACCAGGCGGCGGGTGGAGCATGGATGGATTAATGGCACCAACTCCTGGAAGAGCGGCATTACGCATTTCCTTGCAGCTCGCAAGCCTTTCCCGATCACGCAGCTCCGTCTCAGGCTGGCTGGTTTGCAAGGAGGGCCAAGTGCTGCTCGTTGCAGCGGAGAGCATGGGAAGAACTCTGCACGGTGCTCAGTGATGCTTCTCTGGGGAGTGTGAATGACATTTGAGGAGAGGCTGAGAGGGCCTCAGTTGCTCCCTTTGAATACGTGACCATCTGGGCTGCTGCAGAAATTATGGCTGGTAAATGGGGAACAGCGGACAGGTGGCGAAATCACATCCGTCCCCTTGGCTGGCAAAAAGCCACGGAGGGCTAGAATGGCAGTGATCAGAATGCCAGACCAGGTCTGATAGAGGCTGAAATGGAGTGTCTGACCCAGCATCACCTATGGAGTTAAAACCTGAAATGCGTTTGGGAATATGGAGTTTTGGATTTCTACCTTAATCACTGGGCTATATGAACTCCTACTCCTGTCCCTGAGGAAGGGATGGGGGGAATACAGAGAGCTATACATTTAAATCAACTCACACTGTTGCATAAACACATACGCAATACACATTTTGAGGAAGAGAACTCTGCATTTTTCCCATGAACTTTTGAGTCCTGCGTTAGACTTTTCCTGTCTCTCACCCTGCCTCCCCTTCATTCTTTTCTTGTGGGCTCCAAGGTTCTCCTTGAAGATTTAATCCAGAAACAAGTTGAACCAGACCAATCTCACACAATGCCTATATAACAAATATGCATTTACTGCACAGCTTTCCCCAGGGAGCTAGGATTCTGCTATTTATTCACCTTAACCAAGCAAACAACTTCATCCTTCCAGAGCCCAAACTAAGCGTGGCTAAATGTCTTTGATCTCAGATGCGAAAGAGTTTTAAGGCCCCTGTTCAAAACTCTCCTACCAATATTAGTGGGGTTCATTATGCTTATGCGAACAGCACAACCCATAAGAATTTACTCAGAATTTTCCATTTTAGAGATGCTTTAAACAACCATGGTGCAAAACGCTGCAATTTGTGGCACACCAGTAATTGTGCTGCCACCAGAACAGCTCACAAGCAAGCCAGAATTGAGCCTTCTGGAAGTCTGGTCCACAGATCTTGCGCAGAGAAGTCCCCAGGTCTGATCCGAGTTCCAATCATACCAGGTACGATCCCAGTCAACACAGCACCCCATCTCCATCTGCAACATGGGACAATAAAACCACCCCGTTTATAGGGTCATTCCAGCAACTTCCAAAATAATGTATGTGAAGCATTTGGAATGATCAGAGACCATTACGTAGCATCATTGAGCTAATAAGGCTCACTAACGAGCTACTCATCCGCACTGGAATTGCCACGAGCAAAGCAGCTCACAACTAGATACCAGCATTTCTAATTACACTTATTTAGGAGACATAATAGTCAACTTATGCCTTTGACTGTCAATGCAAAGGTGGCATAAGCAGCACTTATCCCGCAGCCCCGGCACTTGCCTTCATTAATGTTTATTGTGAATTTTAGTTAATCCCATCCAATCCTAAACAAAACAAAAAACCACAAACAGTTGCCGCAAAAACATAAAAATAGTTTGTTTTCTAGCACAAGGTGGGAATAAATCCACTGCAATAGTTACACACACAACATGCATCCCTATGACAGGATACGTGACTATTCCCGAGCAAAATTAGACACAGATGTCAACACAGGCAGACCAAGTATCCACATATTTGTCGTCTTGTTGATAACAACTAAAGACCACCCATTCGAAGATTAAACACATCCTTAAGTCCTCAACCCATGGATTTATCAAAGTTGGCCATTTGTCCTTCCAAGGTTGTAACATGAGGCAATTCATCCCTTTCTTCCACAGCTATTGTTGTTTAGTCACAAAGTTGCACCCGACCCATCATGACCCCATGGACAACATTCCTCCAGGCTCTCCTGTCCTCCACCATCCCTCAGAGTCCACCCAAGTCCACACCCACAGCCCCAGTGACTCCATCCAGCCACCTCATCCTCTGCCACCCCCTCCTTTTGCCCTCAGGGTCTTCTCCAGGGAGTTGCTCCTTCTCATTAGGTGGACAAAATATCTGATGCATATCTATACCTTATATCCAAGTATTCAAATGCATTACACTGCCATCTATTCATATTCAAATCTTCCTATTTGCCTATTTATCCTTGATCTGCATATCTAATTCCAACCCAAATCCAACCTGGGTTCTAGAGCTCTTCTCAAGTTGAATTTCCTGAGAAATCCCAAGAATTTTCTCTTTCAGGCTGCCATCTCTACCACTGGGAGAACTGCACCCACCACCATCAGAATACTCTGCCAAGGACACCTTGCACCCTCTGGCCAGTTTCGGCTGCAATTGTGAAGCAGAGTTTTCACTGAAATGGGATTGGCTTCCAGAAGGAGGGATTAAGCGCAAACTGTTCCCAGCATCCAGCACAGGTAAAGGCCCACAGCTTGGAAGGCTCTCAGAAAAAAAGCATCAGCAAGCCAGGTACCAGTCACGGTGACGCTTCTGATGAAGCTAATTGGGACCCCCCTGCCCTGTCTCCCCAGAAGGGGGTTGCGGCTTGTATGTGGGCTAAGAGAGAGAAACTAAGAAAGAGAAGGACTTTGCAAAATCCACAGCAAAGAGTGTGGCTTGGAGCCAGGAACACACCAGATGCTCAAATAACAAGCACCCAGAAGCAACATTTCTCATAGCTGTGAGACTCAAGGGACTGCTGTTATTTTTCTTTGGCTGGCTTATTGATAACCTGCAGCCATATTTCATCACCACATGCATTCAATATGCTGTGCCTTAGACAGATGTGTTTTTGTTTCCAAGTATCCTTGGGTGGACAAAGCCGGTGGGGCTAAACCGCCGCCTTTTTCAGCAGGAGCAGATCCAATGTTTTTAATCAGCTTGTGGAACATTATTTGAACTTTTGCTCCATGTCCACATCTGTAGCAAAACTGCTTTTGTATTACGCACAATGCTGTATTTTCAAGGTTGTGATTTTTGTGAACTAATTTGGCTATTGGCTAGTATAGAAATGGAATGCAATGGAATAGAACCATATTTTACTGTTCTTGAAAGAAGCACTGAACTTGACCCAGCCATCTTTGCTTCAGCTGCACTGAGACAGACTTACTTCCAAGAAGACCCATACCAATGCACTGTTAGACCTCGGTTCCTTCCCTCTGCTTGCCTAAACTAAGCCGATCAGCATTACAGCCACCATTTCTCAGTAGAGAATTGACAGAGCAAGTCTTCAAACCTTTTCTCCCCTACTCTGCACCCCAATTTATTTTTTATTTATTTGCTTGTGTATTTCATTTCACTTCACTTCTACACCACCCCCTGGCCAAAGCACTCTGGGTGGTTTACAACAATCCATAAAATCAAGGCAATAAAATACAATAGGAATATCATAATGTGGAATGTTGAAAAGTTGAGAGCAGCTATAAATAAAGCATGGAACGACTCTGTAGAAACACTAGGAATGGTGTTAGATTTAGTTAAGGAATTCTGCTTCCTCACCTCATGGCTGGAGCATGTTGGGAGTTGGAGGCCTTTTTCGGTCTAAAATCCTAGTCCTCTGCCTTGCATTTTTATTTTGGCAACCAAGCCAGGTGAAAAGGGGCACTGTTTGGAAGAAAAAACCCACAACAGGGCCAAAGAACTGCAGAGTTTCTTTGAAATATTCCTACCCTCTCCTTCCAAAGAGCCAATGGACATCAGCTGACATAGCATACGGTGGCTGACATCAGGTTTTAAAAATGCAATAAAGTAAAAATAACTCAAAGGAGCCATTAAAATACACAGAGAGTGATTAAGCAGTAGCACCCTTAAATATTGATCGACTCTACGGAGACCATGCGAGTTCAGGCTGCCTCCCACTGAAAGGCTGTGAAAACAACTGGTCTGACCACTCACTGAAAGCCCAGGTGAATA